TTTCATTTGCATAACATATTGGCCTCAGTAGCAATAAATAAAAGTCAAAATGGCTGGATTGAATACGCAGGCAGTTTGTGACGAGAGGGATGTCTGAGCATCCCTTTTCTTTACATATTTCAGCAGTGTGGCAAAATATACAGACGCCCTTCGAGGTATTTAATAAAATCAAATTCATGATGTTAAGCACACATATCTAAAATACACCCCATCGTATGTCAAGCGAAAAAAGCCTGTTTGCAGGGTGTGAAAGATGGAATACAGCGAAAGCCGCACCCTAAAGCATACTCAAAAATATATGGCATTACTTATGGGGCAGTGTTAAAAATGTTGTCACGTCATATATCTCATCAGCAATAGCATAACCAACATCGGTCGCTCCGAAAGCTCTGCACTCAGTGTGGAAAATTACCGGCCAGAATTAGAGGCCATTCAGTGTCCAGAACTTTGCACACAACCTCAAAATGCCAATGGACAATGAAATTGAGGCTCAAGAAGGAAAAGCTCATACTGCGAAAAAAAACCCCTTCAAAGTACCAGAAATCATGCTATGTATAGGCAATGGAGTATATAACATAGGCTGAAAGTTGGAATATTTTGTGAGTGTGACTGAATGTTACTTTAAATTCACAAGGAAGGTTTCCCTCTTCGGTGGAAGTGTTTCTGGGAGTAAAAGGAGCCATCAGAAGAGTGGTATTTTATCCATATATCCATGAGATAAAAAGCATTTTGAAATTCAAGAGGAAGAGTGCTCATCAATAAATTGGGACAAATGAGATAATTTTTCACCATCTTCGTTACATTTGCACAAAACATTTCCTATTCTCTCTCTTTCTTCTCTCCAGAGCCCACACTCAGATGAGAATAAAGGAAAGAGTTTCACAATTTAGGATTATATCATGGAGAATATATTATGATTTTGCATTGGGAAAATAAAGTCGGCATGTGGAGAAATACTACTAAGATGTGTTTCTTATTCAACTCTATTCCATGGCACAATGCAAAGGCGCACATAGAACTGCGATGCAACAAGTTTCTCTTAGCGATCCTGTGTTCACGTATTCACAATTCTTTTCCCATGAGAGCAATGCTGTGGAAATAAAATGTAGAGATATGCATTCGGGCTTTGCTAAACTGCAAATTTATTTATCATTCCATCCTCATATTCTCAATGTACATTTCAATGTGCTTTACTTTCCAGGGCAGGATATAAAGATTGATTTTATTGCTGAATAAAATTGAGCACGTCAAAGTGAAGTACAAGCCTTTACACATAAATTAATGATAGTTTTCGTGTGTTTGAAAACTTCACGTTCGACTCATATATTTTCCTCCATATTCTTCAAACACAATTTTCTTCTTTTCTCTGTGCATTGTTTTTCACACAGAGACTTCCTGAAACTCGTGACTCTTCGTAGGTTTGTCTGACGTTGGCTTGTAGAGGCACGTGATTCGCAATTTCTCAGTATGAATAAAAAAAAAAACGGAAAAGACGAAGAGATAAAAAGATAATCAAAAAATATCATTGTGAGGTCAAAATTCCTAAACCATGTGCTATTAAAGCGTGTTTCTGCTCCTTTATCGTGTTGAAAAAGTCTCTCACAATCCCCGAAGAAAGCCAAAAGCTGTGAATTCTCAAAGATATACAACTTATAAAAGTGTTTTTCATCCACAAACTTTGCTTGTGCGAATGTGGAGAAGAATGAAGAGTCACATCTTGCAGAATGCTCTCATTTTCCCGCCCTAAGTGTGGATGACTTGTTCGACGATATCATATAGTGGGAAACTTTTGCTAGTTAAGCTGGCGGATTCACTTTGAGAATTGAGTTTAAATCACAAGATGTGAGAAAGTAAATGGGATGAAAAAAATACCACCGAAGCGCATTACAATTTTGAGGAGTATAGAAAGAAATATCCAAAGCGATCTTTACATAATGAATAATTCACTGCCAATTTTCGTGGAGTTTGTCTGAGAGGATAATTGAAAAGCTTATATGCGGTTCAAATTGCCTTCGACCTTAAAGCCATGGGATAACGAGAAAATTTGCAGAAAGGAGGAAAAAAAGCTGAAGAAGAAGGTCTACAGAAAATGCTTCAGTACGTCGCACTTCGGAGGCGAACAACTGTTATTACAATTGTGTCTCTGAATATAATCATCAGCTTCCCTAGGAAGTAAACTTTAGTCTCTTCAGCCGAAAAAAAAAACATTTGTCTGTTAAATATTTCGGCACACAGTGAAGCAATACAGATGAGAAAGTGAGTGAAAAATACGAAAATAGATTGCCGACCGACGTTCAAGATCACTATGAAGTTGTCGATAGAATGTTTAATCCTATTAATATATGTGTGTGAAAATCACCTTATTATGAGGTGAATCAAGAGCCAAGATCATTGTGCTTCGAACGTTTATGATGTGCGCGGCCAATGTACAAATGAATGCTCGAGACACACTCATAAAACTTTCATTTTAGAGTCTATCGGCAAAAAAGGAGCTAAAAATAGGGTGACAAGTGAAGAAATTAAAATCAATTAGGTTTATGCAGACTTGTGCTCTTGACCTGAGCCATGTCTCGAAATTGTACTTGAAACGTAAACTGCGTCTTGGGAGCATTTTATTAATTAAGCTACGATGGAGTGAATAGAGAAAAAGGTTCGAGTTCGAAGTCATTAGAATAATTAATTCGCAAGCTCTTCAAATTCAGGCCAGTCATGAGCCTTTCGTAGTGAATGCAATGGCAAAAGAAGCTGTGCGAAGGAGAACAGAATGGATTCAGTGAATTCAAAGGTCAATCAATTTGTATGAAGAGAAATCATTATGATCCATTAGAGCTTATCTTTATCACAATAATATAACAGTGAAGAAGGTTGGAGTGAATGAGAAATTGCGAATGATTCCATTTGCTTTATCATTCTATAGACGTGGCAAAATGTCTCGAATCGATCTCGTTACAATTTCCAATGCCAATATGAACCAATTCCAATTAAACTGCCAAACAGTTGTGCTTGTTTTGGCGCACATGAAATCCAAAGTCTTCATTCACATTTTGTGTGTTGAAGCATGAGAAAATTTTCACCCCACGTAATCTCGGAGACCATCAAATTGTGTATTCACGCCTCTTCAAGCGAATCATGGCGAATACCGAGGAAAACAGAGAGCTTTTCAAGGATTGTCTGCCTCGGAAAACACAAGATCCGGGGAAAAAAACCAAACAGAAATCAGATTAATTGGATATTCTTCGAAGAGTGCCTTCAATTATGCGCTTAAAGACGGATTTCGGAGTTCAGTTAATGGTCTCTTGATGAAGGTAAAGTGCAAATGAGCTTATCAATTTCACCCCAAAGGTCATGACCTATGAATAAACCACGAATAGTGGTCATTAAAACTTTCTATATTCACATAATTCAACGAAATATCTTGACTATGCAATGCTGTCAAGGAAAATTAACCGCACAGCATTTTGCGAATAGCGAAAAGACAGCATTATTGTATGGATGGCAAAATATTTTCAAACCAAACATCCCTCATTTCCCACCATCTAATCCTCTTAGTGCACAATCTGTTACTCTGACTATTTCGGCTGTATGTAGATCGAGGCTCGGTCGCTGCAAAAACATTATTATATCGTCCCGCGGTGAGGTATATGGAGAAATAAGGTATTAAGACTCACAGTGATTGCCTAAAAAGGGGATTAAAAGGCATATGATGGGAAATCGGTTGGGGGAATAGAGGATTAAAAAAAATGACTGCAGCAAAGCTCGTGTGGCACATTGATGACGTCAAGGAAGCTCTTATTGAACACCCAATAATGCTTGTGACATGTGCGTCATTGGGTAATATTGCTCTCCAACTGTTTCAGTGTTTTAATCTCTTGCCTCGTGCGAAGGAGATAATAATATCTATGTCTACTGTGCATTGAAACATTGAAAATTCTCCAGTATATGCATTCAGTGTGAATATAAAGGTCAGAAAGTTCAATTTTACCACCTGTTTAATAAGCTCGACAGGCGTCAAAAGCAGTAAGTGCATGAAATTCTGTATTGATTAAATTCCCGGGTGGAATGTTTGTTAAGGTATAATTGGATAGTGTCAGAAATTAATATGACAATGTGATAAATATAGTAGGATCAAAGCTTTTTGTAAGTCCGTCAGTAATTATCAATTTCTCAATAGAAAAAAAAATATACGGAGAATGTGGAAGACATTTTCCTCAAGCGCATCGTTTAAATCCTGAGCTTTCAATCTCAGACTTCCCTTAATTAGAGCAAATAAACTGCGGGCGACAGTCATACTTGAGACATGGAGTAGTATAGTTAAATTCCATGAGACACGGCATAATTTGGCATGACGTGAAATTAACAACAATTAAAGCAAATTGAATTATTACACTCTAATGGCTTTCTTCCCCTGAGCTCACAATCACTGCCATGGAAGTCTCTCTCGTCAAACTTTTATCGCCACATGTGGTGTGAGGGGCGAAAAGCTTTCAAGAGACAAATACCCGGTGAGTGTTTAATGATAGAACAGGTGAAATTTTATTGTGTCAATTTATGAAGCGACTAAATTGCTTCGCCACCCGCAGATTTCGCAGTGTGAGACGGAGAAATGAGATTGTCTCTGAAGGCGTGCGCCCGGAAAAATAACTTCTGGCATTTTAATCTCCATGCTTTTATTACATTTCGCCCACACCATGACTATGTAGCTCCCGATTGATAATAATAATTAAACAGAACAACCCGGCGCCACTCTAAATTGATGCCATCCACCAGGAACAACAGTGGCTGTAACCGAGGTTGAGCCACAAGGCAGAGAGTGCGAGAGATAAAAGGTGGCACGCTCTGCAAACTTTGCAGATTTGAGGCGATAAGTTAACGCAATCATAACTCTGCAATTTCACTAAACGAATTGCTTTGTCGATGTTTTTGTCATGAACTTTGTGAAATTGTAACCAAACAATTTTCATCCATTGACTTGAAAGCTACTAAGAATGGCACGAACTTACCGGTCTTAACGAGTTTAAAGGTGACGCTGTTGTGAGACTTAAGAGCTTCGTTGAGGCTGGGATGGCAGGAGTCTCGCAGAATTCCCGACGAGGCGGCCATCGCGGGGGGCCCCTGAGATCCGGAGCGAGTCCCACGCCACCCGAAGAGACTGCGATTGGCCCTTGAGGAGTCTGCAAGAGGAGCATTCAGCTTCATGTCAATTCTCTCCTGACCTCAGTTACTCATTAATTTAATCTCAATGTTAATCACACGAGCGAGGCTCATTCCATTCGGTTAGTGCACAGATCATATAAACCAAGTCAGTGTTAAGAAAAAGGGAAAGAAAAACTTCAAACAGGGAACAATATTTGCCCGTGTCCCAAAATGATAGACTATAAAGCTGCTGGATAAAAGGTATACTTCTCCACTGGTGATGCTCCTGTAATTGAATGAAGTCACGTTGCAGAGGCAAATGTGTTTATTTTCTCATGGGATTTCTTTATCACAGACGATGGATGCTTGCAGCATTCACATTGCTCCCTTCGAAAGCTCTCTTCACGAGTGAATCCGTGAGTCCTTGCAGAGAGAGAGAGTCCTCTGAGCGGAAACATTTTATGACACCCAGAGAAACAGACATGTGCCTGCACCCATTTGGATAGTGTGCGTTGCCCTGAGATATAAAGCAACTCATCGTTGCGAAGATGTGTCAACGTGAGGAGACAAGTCGCGAGGAAAACAATTCCACATTTGTCCCAACTGATGTCGCACACATGAATAAGCTTTTCAAGCACGGGCCGGCATTAGTACAAGAGGGCCATCGACCGTCCGAAAGATATTATTCACAAAGTGGTGATTTTCTCTTCTTCATTGCCTCTCAATTCCGGCCTCGTCCTCTGACACTCGCCTCCAGATCTCCTTTCAAACGATAAAATCCACCGCCTCGAGGAGTATATTTCACAAAATGTTGAATTTTCACACTTTATCACGTTCAGGAAATTACCCAGACTGGCTGCTATCTATTTCCCCACTTGAATCGCCCACAAAAGGAGGAGCGTGAAAAACTGTAAAGTATTCTTCGCCCTCAAAACCGCCCACAAAAATTATCTGTTTACTGAAGAAATACCCAATCTCCTTTATTTTTAATGAGTTCCAAAGCAATTGACGACGCGGCGAGACTTCGTAACGTGCACTCAAAGAATATCGTAGCTCTAAGCTGTGAATATTACAGGTAATAAAAAATTCATAAATATTCCATCAAAGCCCAGAGAGTGTAGGTAATCACATGGTGAACCTCAGCGGTGCATTGGGAAAAATTGGAATTAACGATTTGCATGTCGCCGTGCACTTTGAGCATCCCAATTAAGAGTCAACGTGGCGTGTAATTTTAAATCCCGCACTTTTTCGACTGTATAATGGGGAAAAATATACACACACAATGTAATTTTACTGGGAAAAGTATCAAAACAAATTTTCACCCACCCATATATACAATTACGGGCCAGAATATAAAGTAAATTTGCGTACGCATATATTATTCACGAGAATAATTCACGCATACATTTTGCATTGAATATATTTTCTGTGAGAGAGTGAGAAAAAAGCAACATTACACAGGCGCCAAGGATATCGGGCATTTTAGAGAGACCTTTTTCTCTATCAACCATTATATATTTATTTACAAAAGGTCGATGTCACCAGATTAGGCGAGGAATATACATATTTCTTAAGGATAAAACAGCATTTGTATAAACACAAGGAAAACTTTCTCAAGCAAAAAAAAAACCATCTGCGAGTAAGTTATCATTTCTGTGGCCCTTCAAGCATCCATTTTTCCCACAAGCTGTTCGTCATAAAGGAAAATATGCAGAGTTTTTCCTCCCCCGCCATTCTTTGTCATTGAAAAAACAACAACCCCATTGAATTGCAAAGTTTTCCTCCGTCCCCGTTGAGCCAAAGTGTTGGAACATGAAAAGTGAAAAATGTACATTTAAGTGACTTTTGCAGAAGTTACTCAAACTCAGTTATGGTGCCTTTTGAGGAACTCTAAACGCCATATCTTCTTTGTTGCCCCGCTAAATTGAGTTAAATGGAATGATTGAGAAACATCACGAAGTGGTTTAGGAAAGAAGGGAATCGATTAGAATCGACGCTGCGATACATTCATAGTAATCTGCTAAGCGACAAATGGCATTCGCAGCACTTGCCGTGATGTTGTTAACCCAGCTAATAGGATTTCCTGGGCTTGAGTCGCATTTTCCTTGTATTTTAGTGTGAATTACGCAATAATCGCCTACTAAAATAATCAATCAATCATGACCTGGAAATCTACCGATCTCATCCAAGCAATTAGAATGACGTTTTCACTCTCCAAATTCATATTTTTTTCGTCAAATAATGGTTATCTTTGTTGTACAAAGAGAAGCATCACGCTGTGCATATATTTGTCCATACCAAGTGACAGACAACATGATCGGAGCTTTTTTTTACGTCGCAAAAATATCCTGTGTATTTTCATTCTATTGACTCGGGACTTGTATTGTGAACTAACAAACATTTCAAAGTAATTTCACCCAGCAAGCAATACTATAGGTATCGATAGAATTCTGCTGTACTTCTGGGAGTTTATGAAAATGTCAATAAGCTCGGGTATAACTTCCTCCCATCGCCTATAAAATGTCAATGGAAGGAAAGAATTTCTGAGAATCACATCTATTACTGGGTTAAAAATAAATTTTAGCAGAAATACCTTATGATTACCAGTCATTCTAAATGTTACATCGAAGGGTTTAGTAATTTGAGAAGATATAACCCATTTTCTCATGGATATTCTGCTGGGCATCTAAAGGGGAAATCACACACAGAGGGACACTCAACGGTCGTGAGGCAAGCTGAGGCTGGTTAGGCTTCTTGGAGTGGCACGAGTGTTAGTGGAGGAACAGCACGAAACAATCAAAACTCACACGCAGGGTTTCGTGGGGCGGACGTGTTATGATCACTCTAGGAAGCGACTGGATCAGTCGAACGGCAAACCGGCACTGGGGATTAGTCACTCAGATGGTGAAACTTCGAGAGGGCACCTGTCACCTTTCTGGGACGCCTCGAGGGCGCCCTCGGGGTCGGCGCTGCGGGCGCGCGCCGGGCCGCGGGAGCGCTGGTGGAAGATGCCGAGGGAGTGGCGCTGCGGCTCCTCGACGGAGGGCGACGGGGGCTCGGGCTCGTGCAGGGGCGGCGCCCGCTTCTCTATCGAGTACACGGGCTCGCCGGACTCGAAGAAGGCGTCATAGTTGCGCTTGCTGAGGTTCTCGCGCGTGAAGGTGGGATTGGAGACGTGAATGTTGAGGTCCTCGCGCAGGCGCGTCGGCTCTACGTGGTCGACTGCGGCGTGGCGGCCGAGCCGGCCCAGGTGCAGGTGCAGGCGCGGGCGGTGCTTCTTGGGCTTGGCGGCGGGCGGCGGGAGGACGGGGTAGTGCACGGCGGTCTCGAAGAACTCGCTGGGGTCGCGGCCGAAGAAGGGGTCGTCTAGGGGGGGCTCGTCGCCGGACAGGTCGAGGGCGGGGTCCGTGGGGTCGGCGGGCTGGTCGAGCGGGTCATCGAGGGCGGGGGTGGGGGGGCGGGATCTGGTGGGGGACAAGACGAGAGGCTCGCGCAGGTTGTCCAGAGTGGGTCGTGGCTTGAATCTCGGCACAGCAGCACCGTATGTCATACACAGTAGTTCATCCGCTGGGAATATCACGTACATTCCTGGCCCCCGCGATGCATGGCGATCGGTCCTTGGCTCACATCCACCGGACCCTCTCTCGCCTCCCTCATCCACCCACTCACCTCTCGTCTAAGGTCCCGCGGTCGGCGAAGGGTGGGGCCAACGGTATCACAACTTCACGCTGCGCGCACAGGTCACGGACGCGCAACCCCAACCCGCGACTCTAATTACACACCACCACAGGTCATACGACGCGACCCCGGGCAGATTTCGGCACTCCACCAAATTGGGCAAATCACACAGAGTAATACATTAAAAAGAAAGATTGATGGAAATAAATAAGAAGAGTCTGAAAATAGAAATAAGGAGAAAATAAATCATAAGTCAGAAAACTTCGTTTAAGGTGTTGAGTGGCATTTGAGAGCACATTTGAGTATCTTTCGACTCTAGACGTTTCGTTTCCACAATTCTCACTGTGTTCTAGATGTTCTGGATCAATAACAGAACGCGAAACAGTCAGAGTAAACGACTCAAATTGGATTATAATTTTTCCTCTCGACACTTATGGAGAGAGTATTTCTAAAACCTGATTGTTATGAAAATTGCAGACAAATAAACCGATGGAGGGACTGAACATCCGCTCCGTGTAATAGTGTTAACCGCGCCTTCTCCGGCTGTTAAGCTTCCTTCTAATTAAGAGTGTTTTTTCCGGTCGGGGAAACTCTAATAACAAATCCCGTCGCATTCATTCTCTCGCTCCAGATACGGGGATAAAAAATGAATTTAATTAGAATATTTGAATACGTAATTATTGTAGGTATGGAAAGTGTGAGGGGAAAAACCGAAAAATTCCCACCCTCTTTCGCCACCCAGGGCAAAAGCCATCGTGGCACTGTGAAATAATTGCGGGTAAAGGATAATGAAAGCAAGAAGAGCAGACATGGTGAGGAGATATTTATAATGTCAAACATAACAAAGCCATTAGAAGAGAAATGGAGAATTTAATAATAAAGTTTACGCTTGTGCTCATACGTGTAAAGAGTTTTATTGGCACCGCAAAAGGAGGGACTTTCTGCCATCAGGCAAATGTCAGTCATATTCCAATTCGTAATACTCAATATTTCGCAAATGACTTCGAAATCAAGATGTGGCAAATCAGAATTATCATCGCAAATCTCACACTGCGCGAAGCCTCTCTAAAGTTTTTACACTCCATCTCAATTGCCTTTCAACCCAATTACTCTCGCCATAAATTAATTTTATCTGCGTGCACGAGATTCAGTTCCAGATTCTCTGTCACAGAGTGCAAGTCGACATTGAACAGAGTGAGGAAGTATAAAATTACCCCGCATAAAAGTTTCCCAATCAAATTTTATTCATTTACTCTTTCGCTGTTTTTATATGAGCTCTTTGAAGGGTATAAAGGAGGTAATTAGATAGGCTATTAATGAATGAGCTGTAATATCTTGTGCAGAATTTGTTGCAGTACCA